TGTGAATGCACCCTAAAAGCTGGTGAAGATTCTCAGTCATCCAGGATATGATCAATTCAAAAAAGTTCAAGAAAAAAAACAATAAAGTGTAAAGTATTGTATAATAAATAAAGTCCACTTCTTTTTGTCTTGAACTTTTTTGAATTTGTCATTATAGCCACGTTTACCTATTACATGACACAACAACATTCCACTTCCCATGGGCTCGGGGGTCGAGTGCAATGTGGGATGGGTGGTGGCCGAGGGCGGGGACCCTGGCGGTCTGATCCTCGGTTACAGAAGCTGGCTATTGGGACGTGGAATGTCACCTCACTGGTGGGGAAGGAGCCTGAGCTAGTGTGTGAGGCTGAGAGGTTCCGGCTAGAAATAGTCGGACTCACCTCTACGCATGGCTCTGGCTCTGGAACCAGTTTCCTTGAGAGGGGCTGGACACTCTTCCACTCTGGAGTTGCCCCTGGTGAGAGGCGCCGAGCAGGAGTGGGCATACTTATTGCCCCCCAACTTGGTGCCTGTGTGTTGGGGTTCACCCCTGTGAATGAGAGGGTGACCTCCCTCCGCCTACATGTGGGGGGACGGGTTCTGACTGTCGTTTGTGCTTATGCACCAAACAGCAGTTCAGATTATCCACCCTTTTTGGAGTCCTTGGAGGGGGTACTGGAAAGTGCACCTCCTGGGGACTCCCTTGTTCTGCTGGGGGACTTCAATGCTCATGTGGGCAATGACAGTGAGACCTGGAGGGGTGTGGTTGGGAGGAACGGCCTCCCTGATCTGAACCAGAGTGGTGTTCTGTTGTTGGACTTCTGTGCTCGTCATGGATTGCCCATAACGAACACCTTGTTCAAGCATAAGGGTGTTCATATGTGCTCTTGGCACCAGGACACCCTAGGCCGCAGTTTGATGATCGACTTTGTCATCGTCTCATCTGATCTGCGGCCGCATGTCTTGGACACTCGGGTGAAGAGAGGGGCGGAGCTGTCCACTGATCACTGCCTGGTGGTGAGTTGGCTCCGATGGTGGGGGAGGATGCCGGTCAGACCTGGCAGACCCAAATGTATTGTGAGGGTTTGCTGGGAACGTCTGGCAGAGTCTCCTGTGAGACGGAGTTTTAACTCCCACCTCTGGGAGAACTTCGAACATGTTCCAAGGGAGGTGGGGGACATTGAGTCCGAGTGGACCATGTTTCGTGCCTCTATTGTCGAGGCGGCTTACCGGAGCTGCGGCCGCAAGGTTGTCGGTGCCTGTCGCGGTGGCAACCCTCGAACCCGATGGTGGACACCGTCGGTGAGGGATGCTGTCAGGCTGAAGAAGGAGTCCTATCGGGCCTTTTTGGCCTGTGGGACCCCGGAAGCAGCTGATGGGTACTGGCAGTCCAAGCGACATGCGGCTCGGGTGGTCGCTGAGGCAAAAACTCGGGCATGGGAGGAGTTCGGAGAGGCCATGGAGAATGACTTCCACTCGGCTTCGAGGCGATTCTGGTCCACCATCTGGCGTCTCACGGGGGGAAAGCGGTACGCCACCAACACTGTTTCTAGTGGGAGTGGTGTACTACTGACCTCAACTCAGGATGTTGTGGGTCGGTGGGCAGAATACTTTGAAGACCTCCTCAATCCCACCGACACGTCTTCCACTGAGGAAGCGGAGCCTGGGGCCTCTGGGTCGGATCCTCCAATCTCTGGTGCTGAAGTCACCGAGGTGGTTAAAAAGCTCCTTGGTGGCAGGGCCCCAAGGGTGAATGAGATTCTCCCAGTGTTCCTTAAGGCTCCGGATGTTGTCGGGTTGTGTTGGCTTACGAGACTCTGCAATATTGCGTGGACATCTGGGGAAGTTCCCCTGGATTGGCAGACCGGGGTGGTGGTCCCCCTATTCAAAAAGGGGGACCGTAGAGTGTGTTCCAACTACAAGGGAATCACACTCTTAAGCCTCCCTGGTAAGGTATATTCGGGGGTTCTGGAGAGGAGGGTCTGTCGGATAGTCGAACCTCTGATTCAGGAGGAGCAGTGCAGTTTTCGTCCTGGCCGTGGAACACTGGACCAGCTTTACACTCTCAGCAGGGTCCTGGAGGGTGTGTGGGAGTTTGCACAACCGGTCTACATGTGCTTTGTGGACTTGGAGAAGGCGTTTGACCGCGTCCCTCGGGGAACCCTGTGGGGGATACTCTGGGAGTATGGGGTACCAGGCCCTTTGATACGGGCTCTTACGTCCCTGTATGACCGGTGTCAGAGCCTGGTCCGCATCGCTGGCAGTAAGTCGAGCTTGTTCCCGGTGAGAGTTGAACTCCGCCAAGGTTGCCCTTTGTCACCGATTCTGTTCATAACTTTTATGGACAGAATTTCTAGGCACAGCCATGGTGTTGATGGGATCCGTTTTGGTGGCCTTAGGATTGCGTCTCTGCTTTTTGCATATGATGTGGTCTTATTGGCTTCATCAGATCATGATCTACAGCTTTCGCTAGAGCGGTTCACAGCCGAATGCGACGCGGCCGGAATGAAGATCAGTTCCTCCAAATCCGAGGCCATGGTCTTGAGCCGGAAAAGGGTAGAGTGTCCTCTCCGGGTCAGGGAGGAGGTCCTACCCCAAGTGGAGGAGTTCAAGTATCTTGGGGTCTTGTTCACGAATGAGGGAAAAAAGGAGCGTGAGATCGATAGGCGGATAGGTGCAGCGTCAGCAGTGAAGCAGGCGCTGTACAGGTCTGTCGTGGTGAAGAGAGAGCTGAGTCAAAAGGCGAAGCTCTCAATTTACCGATCGATCTACGTTTCTACCCTCATCTATGGTCACGAGCTTTGGGTTGTGACCGAAAGAATGAGATCTCGGATACAAGCGGCCGAAATGAGTTTTCTCCGCAGGGTGTCTGGGCTCTCCCTTAGAGATAGGGTGAGAAGCTCGATCATCCGGGAGGGACTCAGAGTAGAGCCACTGCTTCTCCTCGTCGAGAGGAGCCAGTTGAGGTGGCTTGGGCATCTGTTTAGGATGCCTTCTGGACGCCTCCCTGGTGAGGTGTTCCGGACATGTCCCACCTGAAGGAGGCCCAGAGGAAGACCCAGGACATGCTGGAGGGACTATATTTCTCGGCTGGCCTGGGAACACCTCGGGATTTCCCCCGAAGAGCTGGCCCAAGTGGCTGTGGAGAGGGAAGTGTGGACCTCCCTACTTAGGCTGCTACCCCCACGACCCGACCCCAGATAAGCGGAAGAAAATGGATGGATGGATGGAACAACATGCCATACCACTATTACTCCTCTGCTGCAATCCAGTGGCTGAAAGTGATACTGCTCTTTTTTTTTCCAGTCAAGATAAATGGAAACGGTCATATCTCAGCCAAAAAATGGTTTCTAAATATGTTGCTTCGGCCTATAAGCCGCAGGGCATGTAAATTATGCAAAAAACTGCAACTTATATAAAGAAAAATACACTAGTAATTATTGTCAAATTTAAGAAGAAATGTCTAATTTGTTTTGCATGTAGTACATTTTTTGACCACCGGATTGCAGTATAAGACCGTTTGAACTGAAAGATGGATAGTGAGGGAGCGAGCAGTGTTCTTTAAGAAAAATGGGAGGGAGGCCCCTTGACGTGACATGGGCTCTCTCTCTCTTTGGTTCTCAAAATGGCGGACGATTGGTGTGGTTTGAGCTCTTTTGCATCGCAGCAAAGTCCATGCTCAATAATCCAGGTATACAATCCAACATTTTTCAGTCAGGTCATCTGGACAGTTTTTTTTTTGGTTTTTTTTTGGTGCTGAAACGTTTTGCCTTCGGTCCAGAAGGCTTCATCAGTCAAGGAAACACACAACAAAACTTATTCTTCCCCCAACAGCTAATTCCAAAGTGGAACAAACCAGTTCTGCTTGTGATAAGATGGTCTCTTTGGTATGCCCCTCCTCCATTGCCGGCCCTCTTCGTTGTTGACAGTCTTGTCAAACTGGTTGAAAACAACAAAGTCCATGCTCAATAATCCAGGTATACAATCCAACATTTTTCAGTCAAGTCATATGGACAGTTTCTTTTTTTGTGTGCTGAAACGTTTCACCTTCGGTCGGGAAGGCTTCATCAGTCAAGGAAACGCACAACAAAACTGATTCTTCCCCCAACAGCTTACTCCAAAGTGGAACAAACCAGTTCTGCTTGTGATAAGATGGTCTCTTTGGTACGCCCCCTCCTCCATTGCCGGCCCTCTTCCTTGTTGACAGTCTTGTCAAACTGGTTGAAAACAACAAAGTCCATGCTCAATAAACCAGGTATACAATCCAACATTTTTCAGTCAAGCTGGACTGTTTGTTCCACTTTGGAGTAAGCTGTTGGGGGAAGAATCAGTTTTGTTGTGTGTTTCCTTGACTGATGAAGCCTTCTGGACCGAAGGTGAAACATTTCAGCCCAAAAAAAAAAAAAAACTGTTCAGATGACCTGACTGAAAAATGTTGGATTGTATACCTGGATTATTGAGCATGGACTTTGTTGTTTTTAACCAGTTTGACAAGACTGTCAACAACGAAGAGGGCCGGCAATGGAGGGGGGGCCATACCAAAGAGACCATCTTATCATAAGCAGAACTGGTTTGTTCCACTTTGGAGTAAGCTGTTGGGGGAAGAATCAGTTTTGTTGTGTGTTTCCTTGACCGATGAAGCCTTCCGGACCGAAGGCGAAATGTTTCAGCACAAAAAACAGAAACTGTCCAGATGGCCTGACTGAAAAATGTTGGATCTTTTGCATAGCATTTTTCCACACAAAGCTTTGTGATTTATCGCAACATACTTGTGTGTAACAGCCTAGACCATTGCGATGTTAAAGTTGCTAACACTTAAAGGTGTTAAGATTAGCATCTGCTAAGTTTTGGTGCTGCTCTGAGATCAGTTGTCCTGGTTCAGGTCCCATACAGTCAGAGGGTAAAGAGCTGGTTCAAATTGGACACGACTCCAAACTAATTCTCTTGGTTGCCCCTTAAACTCACACATGAATATTTCTCTTGGTTTTTCGTCATTTATGAGTAACCAATTTTGTTTGCAGCAAAACCTGCTGACGATGGAGCAGATCGTATCAGTGGAGGAGACCTTGATTAAAGACAAGAAAGGTATTCTGCTGCGCAGCAAAGCAGGGAAGCAATTTGTTTTGCAGTGTGAGGTAAGACTCCCATCTGTTGCTGCTACCAAACATGGTGGCTGACGTTTAGATAAACAAATGATGGCTTAATTTCCTTTCTGTGTCCGCAGAGCGATCCAGAGTTTGTGCAGTGGAAGAAGGAGCTGAACGGGGCGTTGACAGAAGCTCAGAGGTTGCTGCTTCGAGCCCCAAAAGTCATTGGGAAAAGCCGAACCGGTGTGGTGGAGCTTTCCAAACCTCCCCTCACACACCACGACAGTAATGGCCTGTAAAATTTCTAGAATTGCGCCACTCAAGGTGGCTGCATGTTGGAGTAGCTCTGTTACTTTCATTCTGAGATATTACTTTTGAAAACTTTAATTCCTCTTTTTTCTGGAAATAAATCGCTTTTTTTGGATGATCATTTCCTCTGGTGTCGGATGATGTGCAGCTGGAAGGATTTTTACAGAAGTATCTTTGCTTTTTGGACATTTGTTATGATGCGTAACCATAACAACAAGGTTGTTTATTACAATTGGGAGCGGCTGATTAACATCTCCAAAGCTCAAATAATATCTCAACTACAGCCTCAAATCCCAAATGAGTTGAAAAGGAGGCACCATGGATGCAGAGCAGGAGCAAAGAAAAGGGAGAAAGAGAGAAGAATGAAGTTTAAACCATCTCTTCCATCAATCATGATGGACAATGTGAGATCACTGGGAAACAAGTTGGATGAACTTCAAGCCCTAACAAGGACCCATCCAGAGTATCGGGAATGCAGTGTTATGTGTTTCACTGAGACATGGCTGCAGGATCATATCCCCGACTCCAGCGTTTCCTTGCTAGGCTTTCTGAACATACGAGCAGATAGAGATTTAAAGAGGAGTGGCAAAAGGAAAGCAAGGAAAGTGGGTGACCGACTATATAAACTTCTGTGTAAACAACACCACCCCCACCAGAACAGTGAGATGCTTCCTCAATAACAAACCCTGGATTACCACTGACCTGAAGGAACTGCTAAACCAGAAAAAAAGAGCCTTCAGGGAGGGAGACAGGGAATTATTGAGGAGCACACAGAAGCAACTGAAAGTTAAGATAAGAAACAGCAAGGAGGTGTACAAGAAGAAGCTGGAGAGCAAGCTCCAACAGAACAATATCAGAGAGGTGTGGTCAGGGGTGAAACGGATCACAGGCTTCAAGCAGAAGGAGGATCAGAAGGATGGAAGCCTGGACAGAGCCAATGAACTGAACACATTCTTCAATAGGTTCAGTTCAGGAACAAGCTCAGCATCCTCCTCTCTTGCCCACAGCCAAACATACATACCACCCTCCATTGACCCAAGGCTGTCCTGTCACACCTAAAATATTGTATCTACCACTTCAGTCATGGACCCTTCTTCTACATATTGGTCTTCAACCAAATCAGAAGATGCTGATACCTCCTTTGCCTCCCCCCTCTGCATCTCCAGAAGGCAGGTGAGGAAGCAGCTGGAGAGACTGAACCGGAATAAGGCTGCAGGTCCAGATGGTGTCAGTCCCAGAGTCCTGAATGTCTGTGCAGAGCAGCTCTGTGGGGTTCTGCAGCACCTCTTCAACCTTAGCCTGACCCAGGAGAAGGTTCCAGTGATTTGGAAAACATCCTGTCTTGTTCCAGTGCCAAAGAAAACTCACCCATCAGTCCTCAATGACTAGACCTGTTGCCCTGACATCCCACATCACGAAGGTCCTAGAGAGACTTCTGCTGACCCACCTGACTAGACAAACAAGCACATATCAGGACTCACTGCAGTTTGCTTATCAGCGTGGACTTGGAGTTGAAGATGCCATCATACACCTGCTTCAGCAAACTCACTGTCATCTAGAAAAGGCAGAGAGCACTGTGAGAGTCATTTTCTTTGATTTCTCCAGTACATTTAACACAATCCAGCCTGATTTGCTTTGTCAGAAACTTCAGAAGACTCAGGTGGAGGCCTCAACAATCGCCTGGATCAAAGACTACCTGACGAACAGACCAGAGTTTGTGAGACTGAAGGGTTGTGTGTCTAACCAGGTGGTCAGTAGCTCAGGAGCACCACAGGGGACTGTACTCTCACCATTCCTTTTCACTCTGTACACCTCAGATTTCCAGTATAAAACAGACTCCTGTCATCTGCAGAAATATTCTGATGACTCTAAAGTAGTCGGGTGTATCAAAGATGGACAAGAAGCTGAGTACAGGGAACTGGTGGACCGCTTTGTGGCATGTTGTGGAAACAATCATCTCATCTTGAATGTGTAGTGAACTAACTCCGGTCAAGACCTGCCTCTGAAGACCTTCATGGGACAGGAACTGTTATTTCATTGATTTGAATCCAGAAATACAAATTAGCTCATCCAGAGACTTTCTAATTGTATCCTGAACTAATCAATTGAAAGAACACTCGCTTTTTTATATTATCATTACTATTTTACAATGTCTTGATAATCAAAAGTGTGTTTAGTTCAAACCATTTTAAATGTTGAAGTGAACCACTCATTTTAAATCAACTGTGAAACAGTATTAATGATTTTTTAATCCTCATTCAAAGTAGAAATCAAGTTAAATGTCTATGTTACAAAGTAATTGTGCATTTTTGATCTTCTGTCTGAAATGAGAAAGGAGTGATGTCGGTCAAAAGTCGGAGACAGTCAAAAACAAGTTATTGGAACGAACTGTCATGTTTTTAAACCTCTCTGACAGAAACAAGAAAACTGGCACCTGTAAGTCTGTCATTTCTCCAAAACATTTCTCTGTCTGTTCCTAAACATCTCCGCTGTTTTTCTGACTTGTAGTGACCCTCTGGCGTCACTAAAACCACACCCCTGTTGGTTCTTTCAACCAATCAGGACTTCCCAAAAGTGACCGGAAGCAGAACTCTTTAAAAGTCGACACTTCCTAGTTCCAGTTAGTTCTGGGGGAGAACAGAAGTTCCAAGAGAACAGAAGTTCCAAAAGTTCAGAACAGAGAGTTCTGCTGGAGAAGGTGAAGTCCACGGTGGTCTTTTTCTGAAAGATGACACCTGTCTGGAGTGTTGATTCAGGTCATCACGTCAAAGACCTATTCAACATCTCAGGAGTTCAGCACGTTTGCTGAAATTCCACTTAACTTAATCCTATCCTTCGGGGGAGTTTATTTTGGAAGCTGGGCCAGTCAGCCTCGTGGTCCCAAGTTGATGAGAAGCGGATATAAATCCCTGGAGATAAAAAGACTCAGCCTTGCTGGACGCCAGGAGAAGGCCTCTCTGAAACCCCACCAAGGTAAAGAGTCGACGCTCGGGTACCATCTAGCTGAAATCACTGGGAAACGTGCTATCTGGTTTCAAACAAGATAACTCCCCATCTTTTCTTTATTATCTTAGTTAACCCTAAGTATCCACTTTTCCTTCTTAAACTTTACTCCATCTCTATATTTCCCTGCCAGTAAAGATAAGCTTAAAAGCCTGCAGACCTTAATTTAAGATCTAAGTATATGTCTGTTGTTTCAAGTTGCAAGTGAGGAATCATGGCCGTATGATTTCTCATTGTAAAGCTCATTAATTAAGCTGTGTTATTGTGATCAATTATGCCAATCAATGTGTAAATGTGTGATGTGTTTAAATCGTTTTGATAAATAAAAGACCTCACTGTTGTGGTGGGTCAGAAATTTAAACACGTCTTTGTCCACATTTAACCTTCTAGGCACGATATGACTTAGTCCAGAAAAATGAAAGAATCCGTTTAAATTAAGTATAATATTATGTACTTGAATTAGTCCATATATTATAAAATGTAAGAGAGCACCCCTGAGCTAAATCCATCTCACGACTCTCTCATTACAAATGTGAACAAAACGAGATGATTGTAGATTTCAGGAGAATCAGGAACAGGTCCAACCCTATTTCTATCATGGGAGAAGAAGTGGAGGTGGTGGAGAAGTATAAATACCTTGGAGTTCACCTGGACAACAGACTGGACTGGAAATGCAACAGTGAAGCCGTCTACAAGAAGGGACAGAGCAGACTGTACTTCTTGAGGAAGCTGAAGTCCTTCAACGTTTGCAGCAAGATGCTGCATATCTTCTATAAGTCTGTTGTAGAGAGCGCTATCTCTTCTGCCATCATATGCTGGGGTAGCAGCACCAGAGCAAGTGACTTAAAAAAGACCAACAAGCTCATAAAGAAGGCTGGCTCAGTTCTGGGGACTCCTCTAGAACCTTTGGAGACGATTGTTCAAAGAAGGATTCTTCATAAAATGAAGAACATTATAGACAACCCTCAGCATCCTCTTCATCAGACTGTCATACAACAACAGAGTGTCTTCAGTCAGAGGCTTCTTCAAATCCGTTGTAGGACAGAACGCTACAAGAGATCCTTCCTGCCCACAGCCATCAGCATCTATAACAACTCATTAATGAAACCAGGATGATGAGTTATCACAACATATAATTTCCCTCTGGGATTAATAAAGTATTTTTGAATTGAATTGAAATACACGCGCACAGGTTTATATATAATATATAGAAATGTGCACACACATACACGTACCTTGACACAGACACTGCACACCACCTCATCACTGTAAGTCATAAAGACATTTGTCCTCATCTCCTCTATGGATCGTGGCAGTGTGGGTACAGACCCACCAGCTTTCCCCCCCCCCCCCCCCCCCCCCCCCCCCCCCACACACACACAACCAATCAGAGGATAAGTATTGTTTTGTTGTTTTTTTCTCTGCCATAGAGAGGAAGTAAGGAGGCAAGAAGAGAAATGTAGGAGTTCAGCTCATGAAGAACCTCAAACATGGATGTGATGAGGGGCGCAGTCCCTCACTTACCACCACCACCCTGATCTGTCTGGATCACATGACTGTGGACTCCTCTAAGAAAAAAATAACAACACAACAGAAACCACATGAGAGAGACCCATTCCGTATGTAAAAGCAAAACTAAACATCAAAAGAACTGCTGCTGATCTGGATCCTCCCTCCTTTAAACATTCCTCTCAGTTACTTGAGTGCACAAAGTGCCAACGTGAATATTTTACTTGAGTCACCTGAGCAGCCAGGAGGACCTGCTCCCTCACTCTGGACACTCAGAGGGGGGGATTATAGGCAGTAATTGATCATTCCAGTCCAAAAAACAGGAAGGACCACCGACTCTCTTCAGATTGGCTCCCACGCAGCCTGTTACTATGGAGACTGAGATTCCATTGGCTGTCAAACAGCAGCCGGTTGCTATGGGAACCTGGAAGACCAGTGTACCTGGGGATCAGTAATTGTGGACAGTGGTGTAACTATTATATGTATGAAGG